GCGTGGCGATTCATTCGTCAAGGGTCTGTGTGCGACAAGGCCTTGGGTGATAAGGCCAGGAGAAAGGCGCTTTGGCCTATGGGTCGACATCTAGGATACGCTCCATTACGAGGTATATTCATCAACGTCTGCCAGGCAAGGGGGAGGGAAGAGGAGAACGCTTCATTTTGAAAGTATCATGCAGAATTTTCATAATGGCTACAGTCCCTGTGACCAGATGATAAATTAACAAATTACACAAGAGTCTAAAGGTTTGCATAAAAAAGTGAACATCTATAATAGGAACAGTTCGAGTCTCAGTTTTCCATTCCTGTCTCTTTGAAACGTAAGCAATCGTACCAAAAACGGCAGTAAGGAGCGCTGATATGCCGATGTACCATGTGTATCTCGAAAGCCTCAGCGTATGGGGCGGAAAGACTTCGTAGCCATTAGATCACAGTGAGGGGGATGGAAAACATCATCCAGAATTCGAACAGCTACTTGCTAGAAAGTTGTGAAGCGTCTTTGCATTAAAATTAAAAAGGCAAAAGAAAGATCGGCAGCAGGATGGAACATTAGGAGGACGCTTTTTGAAATTAGCATATCTTTTTTAAAGTAAAACAGGGAAAATAACCGGATATCAATGAAGAATGAGAGGGAGAATACGGGGAACGTAAACGTAGGGTGTAATAAAGAAGATCACGAATTTTAATGAAAAGGGTCTCAGTAGAAAGGGAGAATGAAAGATTTTATGTAACGGTAACACCTAGATACCGGAAAGAGGATACCTCGTTGGGAAGGATGTCTAAGGATTCAAGACCAGGAGAGGGTCGCAGTCGGAAAACACGCTGGGCTGATTTCTGATTATTCATTAGGAGAACATTTTCCAATGACCAAGCTGAGACGTGGTCCAGACCATCCTTCAGAAAATGGAGATTTGCTTTTCGTTCAGAGTTGGAAAGCAAAAAATACCAGCTGTATCTCGTTATCGTAGCAGCTCACAACCAGGTATCACGTGACCGACGAGGAAGATTCTAAAAGTCTGTGGAGACCCCATCTGAGTCTGTTTTCGCCTCCTTATGTCTGTGTGCGGGATATAGAGATGTGGAATAAGGGGATGCAATGCGTCGGAAGGACAGATTGTCCATGAGCCTGGTGCACGCCGTGGTTGCTCAGAACGGTCTTTACAGAGTGCTCATCCGTGTGAGCCCCGGGTCGTCCTTATGGAGGTCTGATACACGTAAAGGGGTCCAGCTCGTGCGTGGCACGTGTAGATGGGCTGTTTAACTCTGTCAGCTACCGCGCCTGACTCGACTTCCGGCCGTCTTGACACCGGAAGGAGGCAGATAATGGAGAAGAAGATGTGGTAGATGCCGTAAGGCCTGTCCTACCACAAACTAATTCCCGCGCAAGTCCTCGTTTCTGCGTCCGCTTCGTGGAACACGCAGTGGATGTCGTCGCCTGCGACGGCCAAACCTATCACGCCTATATGCTGACGGGCAAAGTTAACGAGAATGCAGCTGATATTGACGTCCGGCATCCGAAAGTTGCATCATCTCCTGAGAAACGGCTCCTTCTTGATTGCCTATCAGTCTTTCTCTACTTGTGTCTGATAATTCCACCCGTCAAGAAAGACCTCTGAGTGGTCGGTAGGTAGGCAGAAGTCCTCTGGTTTTTGGCATTTAGCTTGAGCTGAGTCGGAATCCGAGCTATCGCAGGATTGTGCACGTTGAAGTCGACACCACGAAGGTTACCAGGCCACAAGTCAAGGAAGACAGAATCTGGTCTGTGGGGAGAGAACGCACAGGCGGCCCAATAAGCAGTCGCGGCAAGCCGTCTCAGCTGGCAAATGTCAGCCAAAGTATATGCGCCTGAGCTTCGCTCGGCTGCGACCAATCGGTGAGGGCAAAAATATCGATCGGCCGCACGGCGTAGGCGAAGGTTGAGTCACACGCGCGTCGTACGCAGTACTTATCAAGTGTGCTATTCAGACCGAAGGTGACAGGGACATGCTGCGTCGCTGGCGCCCACGAGTGCAGGCAGTTAACTGCACGTTTTTCTTGGCGCTCTGACGCCTTGAAAGGTTCTATGCCATACAAAAGCTTGACGTCCAAACGCAGATCATTCGACCATTTCCCGCCACACAGTAAAGCTTACTTGATATAGATTATTACTTGATGAAATACAAGACTTCACCCCGTGGTCTTTTCTGTATGTTTCAAGGCATTTTAAACAATGCGTTCATGCAAAGACCCATTTATTATCCACCTCGGCGAGTTCTGATAGCCATGTTGTCTGCAAAGAGTCAGACAGGCTTTTGAGACCGCACCTGTAGTTGCGTTGTCCGTGTGATGGACCTACCCAGTTGAAGCGTGACAGCAGTTTTCCGCGTGTTGTTAGTCGGTCGGAGTCCGACTTATCCAGAAGCGAAACGGTCTGGACCACGCTGTAGGTCCGACTCACTTGTGACGTTCAGTGATCAGGCATTAGTAATAGGAGGCCATGTATCCTGACATTGGATTTTTTCCGATGGTTTGTGTACGGCGCACGTTGAAGGGTTCCCGTTGGTCCGATAGTTAATGTCGGTTCCCGGTCGATTTCTTCGGTATGCGCACGTCGACTTTACAGAGCCCATGACGTTGAGGAGTGTTGGAGTGCGTGTGTTCTCTCTGCATCCTATTTGCCATCGTAAAAACCTCCGACTTTGACGCATTGTCCGTCACACGTCCCATCATGCTGTCATAAATCTATCTGACCATCCGAGTGAACCTTTCCGAACATCTTCCTTTCTTTCCAGATGCCGTCACGATTCACGATGACAGCAGCCTTCGTGCGATCCACAAAGGTAATGTGAAGGTTGAATTCCAATTCCCAGTACTCTTGTATTCAGCACTTAGGGTACATTCATCTCTTGAGGCCAACTCCTCGGTTGGATTTGCAGACATCACGCCCCACTTGTGTCACGTGGACATCAGAGCTCGAGGGTGCATGCACATTGTCGATTGGAAAGCCAAGGATGGTGATGGTGACGGAACACCCAGGTTCAGGCTCACGCAGCGTCAGTAGGGGGGCCGAGCCACCTCCCTTTTTTGTTGTGTAAAATCCTGACCAAAAGTTTGTTGTGGACCAGGGTTTGTAGTGGTGCTCCACAACAAGGTGAAGTAAGGACAGTGAATTGGGAGGATTTAGTTTATAGTGGTAGTCGACTTGCGCTGCACCTACCACACTCTCTCCTCCTACCTCACCCAGACCCCGATTCAAGACTAGGTCAAGAAGACCGGAGGGGGGTGAGGGCGCAGGTGGATGGCACGGTCGAGCCCGCACCTTGACACTCCACTCCACGCCCGCTGGTCCACCAGGATTTTGACCAACAACAGCAACGCCACAAGTGGTCAGGAGCGGCTCTTCGTCGTGCTAGCCACCTGCAACCTCTCCCGCCTCCGGCCTTCTTGACGCCGGGTCCAGGGGGGGAGGGGGCGGAGGAGAATGTGCCGTAGACACTTCGAAAGTCTATGAGCACAATGAAAGAAAAGTCAAGTTGGCGAACGCACGTTTTCGGTAATTCTTCCTCAGGCCAATACAAAACGTGCGTTCGCCAACTTGACTTTTCAATTGTAACATGGGAATATTTGCGGAACTTAGACAATCCAAAGAGCCCTCGGTGTTAAAGGAACTCAATGAATTCCTAAAGTTTAACACCAGACTTGAGGAGGCACACGTGACGAGGAAATTCTTATCAGGATGTATTGAATTGTATTGGCCTGAGGAAGAATTACCGAAAACGTGCGTTCGCCAACTTGACTTTTCAATTGTAACATGGGAATATTTGCGAGAGTCCTAATCTGTACTAAAGATAACGAGAATTACTAGCTCAGCCTTGACTGTTGTGTCAGCCCTTCCCTCGATTTCATCGAAGCCCGCGGAAAGATAAAACATGAGAAGAGAAATCTTCCGTTATTGACTTTCTGCACAAATTTTTACCTAATCGAAAAAGATGCATCCTTGAGGTTAATAACTGTCAACTGAACCAAAGCCGCATTAACGGCAAAGTTGCAAAATGCGCAGTAAAGGGGGTGCCTAGGAAAAGTTGTGCACAGTAAGGAATATAACAAATTAGTCACCATGGTGTCCTCGTATAGACTGAAAGCTGGTTTTAAAACCTCCTCCAACCTACGCCTAACCGTAAGCCACACCAAACCCATCACCCACACCAAAAATGTCCGACTTACCTCACGCAGTAGAAGCACACTTACTGATAATCAATTTTCCGAGCAAAATAAGCACGCCTACTGATAATAAATAAGTACGTCGTCAATATCGACGTACATTGCCACTCCTGGCTACCAACTGCGATCTCACCTAAATTTGATATCATAAAGCATGAGTAATCACATGACCAGGACGGTTTACTCGACGAGCGCTGTGAGTGATGTAAATTATGCCTCTGTGCGAGGCTTACGCTCAGGAACAATGAGGTAAAAAGGCGGGGGAGGAGGCTGCCGTACAACATTAATCCGGCCGCCCTGCAGTCCAAATCCGAATTCAATGCCGTCTGAATGCCAAAATAATGACAGATAAATATCTCCCTCCTCCCGACTCGTTGATTCCTCTGCGGCACGCAGAGAAGTTTTGAGTTGGTGGTAGAAGCACTGGTCCATGTCTTTGGAGGCTGGTTGGTAGACCGTCTGGGCAGCCGAGGAAGGCGAGGACACCTCGAACAGGCGTGACCGTGGCTGGGGATGGTATCCACCTCCACATTGTGCAAAGGAGAGGCCTCTGTCCAGCGAGTGTGCTGATCGACGCAGGTAAGGAGGGATGTGTGACCACTGAACGGAGGCAAGGGGCCTACGATATCCAGAGGAACGTGGCTGGACCGCAATCGAGGCAAGGAAAAGCACTAAGTGGTGTACCATACAGACAACACAGGTACTGGCTAAATGCCCACCCACGCGTGTTTCGCCGATCTTTTGCTGCTGCATAACGCAACTTCGAGGGGTTTGGCGACGGTCTTCCTGTATTTTCCTACACTGAAGCTTCACTGGGAAAAACAAATTTTCTGTCAGGTCATTTGGGACAACCTGAGTACTTAATTTTTTGACTGTACAGTTCAAGACAAGCGTACTTTGGTATTGACAGTTTCTCGCGTCGGGAGGCAGACTTAAGGCTCACAGTAGGTTGTTGTCGAAGTCGCAGTGAAGTTTTTTCCCCTTTATTAGCACACAGAAGTCAAAGGCCACATTTTCTTGCTAAAATTCGGTCACGCACTCAGTGCCAGCGAGAGAAGATACAACACTGTCTTCAGCGTAGACATTAAAAAAACTTTGTAGCCAGTGACGCTTTCCTGAATTTTGAAGTGAACCTGTGTAACCTGCCCTGTCTTTTCAGATTCGACACAAGAAGTCGCCGTGGTATACTTCGCGCCCAGTTCAACTTCGACACTCATGCAGGTACTCCATTTTACCGAAGAAAAGGACTACTGTCTTTGGATTGTCGAGCCAGGACAATGACACTTCAACTGTCTAGGTCCATCTTGTTGAGCGGAACTTTTTAGCCGTACTGTGTTCTCCAGCGAAACACAGGGACACGCCGGCTCACGGTGTCGTCGTCCGTGGTCTATACATGGGGTTCATTATTATTGCCTTGTGCATGTTTACTTTATGTTATTCAGTAACACTATTATTTCTAATGCAACGCGTATGGGGGGCTGAAACTAAAACTAAACGTCATCCCATCACTACAGCCGTGTGGGCAGAAGAGTGTCCGGACGGAATCTACGACCTAGAGTAGGTGGACTAACTCATGAAATGTCAACCAAAATTCCGAAATGCGTTTTCGTTTCGAAAAGATTAAATAAGTAGTGTTGAAAAACTGGTCAGCCTGCAAAATAATCCTATAGTATTTCAGTTACCTCAGGATGCCCAATTTCGAATGAACTTCCTTCCGGTGACATGTAAAAACTATACTCTGTAAAAATAACTACTTAAGTAGCCTGAATTTTTCTCATTGATTTTCGATTCCCCTAAACGTCCAATTATGTTTCATGGGAAACATGCATAAAAATATTCATTTTTTGCTCATTCAGTAGAAAATTACGTCTTATTCCAATCTTATACTCGAGGGAAGGCTATAATTCGGTTTCCAAAAACTTTTCTAATTTCCGAATAATTTTGAACCCGCTGTCCCGTTTCACTTGGATTCAGGGTTTCCCAACTACGAGTAGTATATTTTCCGCGTGCGGAAAACCCCACATTTCTCTACGGTAGTAAAGGGGGGCCATATAGGGTTCATAAAATTTAGCGGTGTATTTGATCCATACTGTTAACTTTACAGGCCATATTGGTAAATGCAGAGATATGACGATTTATGAACGGCCATTTCACGGTATTAAAAATCTCACAATTAGAAACTTTTTAGTGCCGAATTATGTCCCTCCCTCGGGTATAAATTCATGCTACTTAAGTAGGCATTTTTACAGAGTGTAGTTTTTGCATGCAGCCGGAAGGAAGTACGTTCGAAAGTCGGCATCCTGAGGTAATTTAAATATTATCGAATTATGTTGCATGCTGACTAGTTTTACAACCCTACTTAAATAATTTTTCCAAAACGAAAACGCATTTGAGGATTTAGGTTGATCTTTCATGAGTTGGCCTACCTACTGTAGTTTTTCGGCACAAAATGTAGCTGAACAGTAAAAGAACCTCCCTGAGACAGTAGTGGAGGCAACTTTGCTACGGCTCCACAATTCTACATCTGTCCGCCACCCATTTAACACACAATAACAGTGCTACTTAAATAATGTTGACAATATGTCTTTTCGGTATTAATGTTGTACGTGTACGGCCATCTTTCAGTCCACTAACATGTGCACAAATATTGTTTTCAGAGGCATTGCCTTTCAGCCTCACAAACGCACTAAAATATATCGAAAGAGAATTCAACTAAAACCCACGAAGTGCTACATTCTTGGAGCCTCTGAAGTCTTCTTCAGTACTAGTCCCGCCTGCTCAACCCACAGGACGTTTAGTGAACTTCTCAAACCCCAACATTTTACCCGGAGATGCTTATCCGGAAGAACAGTAGTCCTGAAGTGTCTCACCATGAAACATGACGCAGTCCGCAACGGTCTGTCCCCTTTGGAGGTTTGACACGGGAATAAATACCTCCACCCTCGTACTATAGGCGGCCTTGGATCAAATTCCCGTAGGGGTATCCATTTCCGTGCTCTAACACCAACCATCCTAACCCTAAGTTACCTTGGAAGTTGACGCAAGATCTCCTTCCTTTTAACTGATCGCTACTTCTCATCTATCGATACCTCGCCAAGCGCACAATAACATATTACTGACGACTTCCTGCGCGTAAGATCTCAAATTCAATCTGTTTCTCATTCAGTCTGTGGCGTGATTGCTTATAGTCCTAGCAGGGTCAAAAGGCAACGTGTCGTAAGGTGAGGTCTTTATCATTCTGGGACACCAAAATGTCGCCTGTCAAGGCCATCGACAGAGCTTTACGCGCTGAGGCCGCATGCTTTGGGACGAAAAACGTTAACTCAGCCAGCTAAACATGCATTGCGCCTGCTGGATGGTCAACCTGTCATGTCCCCATTCAAGGTTCAGAAAGTCGGTGACTTCAGCCCTATTCACTTTCTTTGAGGTTTTGGTTTCTGCGACTGCGAAATTCCCTCAACGCTGACCGTTAAAGTGGGGAGGGGAGGCGGGGGGGTTACGTGCGTCTCTAACTTCCACCAAGTCGAGCTTACGGTCATCGTTTGGACTTTCAGGTGGCAGCTGAAATTGGGGATGAGATAAGGGGATTGCACTGCACCCCGCCAGCTTCCGTTGACTGCTTTCTGTCATCGCGTGGGTGCTGCAGGGATCTCAAGTTAAGGTATTCTAAAAAGCACTTGTTCCAACGATCGTGTCTCCTTCTCCGCGCCCAATTCCTGAAACTCGCCTCTTTGCTTCTATTAGCACATTCTATAGACCACTTGTTTCATGCTGTATATGAAATACTTGTCTCGAATCCTGGAAATATGAAGTCCTTTTCAGTTCACGGGGTTGCCCAGACAGCAGTGGTGGAGGTAACAGGGATGATTCTACTCTCTCTCTCTTTGATGACAGATGTTTCCCGACTGGGTGATTTCGCACATCCCTCGTCTCTTTTAGAAACTGCGCTAACCTTTGAAAATTTCAACTATGCTACCTGCCTGCTCATATAATCCTTCTCTGCGCAAAAACATGGTTAATTCAACAACAGGAGCAATCCTTCACTGCTGTTCATTCTCTTACTTGCCCAAGTTTCCCTCTCGGCGTCGCGAAAGCAGTCACTTCTCGCATATGAACGTTTAAATTACCCTGGCATATGACGTGATGTTGGCAGGCAGGGGGCGGCGGCGGCGGCGGCGACGACGAAAAGTAATGGAGTTGGCCAAACCAAAACAGCCCTCCGGCTATCATGCCTTGGCAGTCGGTGGTGTGGAAGATCACTCTCAGACAGTCATGCCCTCTGATGTGCTATACAGCTAGTTTTCGACTCGA